GATTCTATCTTTGCCATGATGACAGTCAATAATATTAGACTAGATATTCTTCAAGACACTAGTGTTCAGCTTAAAGTGACATGTAAAGGCTTCACTAGGGTAATTAGGGTAAAGTTAGGGTAATTAGGCAAGTCATTGTATAACAGTGGTTTGTTCTGGAGACAATCTAACACTAATATTGCTGAAGGGGGTTAATAATATTGAGCTTAAAATGGCTTTAAAACAATCGAAGACTGCTTTTATTCTAGCCGAAATAAAAAAAATAAGACTTTCTCCAGACAAACAAATAATAGAGCAAATACTGTAAACAATTACTGAAACTGTTCAACACCATTTGGGAAATATTTGACCAAGAAAACAAATAAATTCAGAAGAGGGCGAATAATTTTGCCTTCAGCAGTATGTGTGTACCTCCTCCAGGCTGGTGTCGGATATGCCGTAGCTGGTGACTCCCAGTGTGTTTTTCTCCAGGTCGAGCTCTTTAAAGAGTGTGGCGAAGCTGCCGTTTGTGGCTCCGCTGTATGGTAGAACATAAACCAGCTCCTGACCCACCGCCTCCAGAAACTCTGCCTCCGGGACGTGCCGGCGCACCAGACGACTCACATCAGACACATCTGCACAACAGAGAAATTAATAAAACACACTCATGCAGGACTGCGTGTGTGCGTGCGTGCGTGTGTGTGTGCTTGTGTGTGTGCGTGCGTGCGTGCGTGTGTGTGGGTGTGTATAAACCTGGAGGGTCCAGACTGCTGATGCTGTCGCTGCAAATGCCCTCGTCCAGACTTGATTGATCAAACTGATGGACAGAGAGAAATATGGAGGTAAAATGAAAACACATATATAAATATATTTAAACTGTGCTAAACAACAATCTAACTCTTCTGGTTGGATGCAACTAGTTAATCAAGAGTTTATTATTTTTATTATTATTTAAAGCTGACGGTGTGCTGTAGTTTGGCTGTTTTTGTAAAACACTCTTTGAATTCACATTCTTTACTATTAAACTATTAAAATATTTAAAATAAAATAAATTAAATGTGCAGATCAGGCCAAAGCTAGCCTGGCATAAAA